GTCGCAATGACGAGTTGAAGGCTTGCCTTTGTTCCTCAGTGACCTTAGAAAGGTCCAGGCGGCGGTGTGGTCGGACAGCCCTGCTACGACTGGCGAGTTTGACCTGTACTTCCGTTACCAAAGGGTAGTGGTCACTGGGGAAACCTGCAAAAGGCAAAGACTGACATGAACGTACTGAGTTGAGCCACTGGTGTCTTACGAATGCATGGTCAAGACGCTGGAATCGAACTGGATCAACCTGGGGCGGTATGATCGGAGGGGGCAATAGGTGATCACTCGTGAGGTAATCCCGAACCTTAGCGGCAATCGCAAGAGCGTCCTGCCCGAAGCTGTGCTCCAGTCTGGTATAAACCTGTTGTAAAGGAAGGGGGTCCAAAACAAACTGTGACCAGTCTGGGGGCGGTGCCGCTTTATCACGGTACGTGATTTGCTTCAGCATGTTTGGGGTTTTGTACGACGCAACCTCTACAAGATTTTGTTGCTGCAGGAAGGTCCTGCAGAGCGTGCGGTTTGAAGAGGCGGAGTGGTCGATGTAACGGGAGCCCTTGCCGTAAACGAACGGGCCCACGCAATGCCCGTCACTGCGGTGTTTGGACTGGAAACGAACATTGAAATCCCCAGTAACAATGACAGGCTCAGGCTGCGGTATGTGTCCGACGTGATCCTGATGTTGTTCCCAGAAAGGCTCCCTGACAGACTCCAAATCCAGTCCTGAGTGAGGGGCATAGGCCCCGACCACATGAAGATTGCCTCCACTCATCTTAAAGGCCAAATGGACAATTCTCGAGGATACCTGAATAACATCCAAGAGGTGTGGTCTGAGATGTGGTGTGATGATAGCACCGACCCCCGCATATTTGTCCTGCTTGTTGCCTGACAGGATGACCTTCGGATTGATAGGAATAGTAGGAGTTCGAACGGGTTTCCGTGAGAACCAGAACATCCATGGAATGAGTGTGCATCAATTGAAGTGCCGACTTAAGCTTCAAACTTTCCGCAAAACCCTGAACATTGAGAGCACCGATGCGGAGTCTGGAATGATACTGCAAAGGCGGCGTGGTCGGATAATTCACAACCTTCCGCCGCTTTCGTCTTGTGAGCTGCTGCTGCCACATAATGGCTTTGCGGAACCACCTCGCATTGTTGCGAGCGGCTTTTAAGGACCTGGCAGGGGCAAGGGGGGAGGGGTCCACCGTCCTCCCCACAACCTTGGTGCTGAATCGCCGCAAGAGGCTGTACTCCCGACGACGTCGGGCCCGTCTCTTAGCGCCCCGCTTTTCAGCTAAGGCCCCCGCCATTGTTGGGGAGCACTCTTCGTTAACTCGCGAAGGAGTACCCGGCGTGCCGCGTGGCGGCGGTGTGCGGCTGTTTGGCTTCCTGAATTCCTGAATTGAAACACGTCTCTTCGAGAGGTGTGGTCTCTTATAAAAGAGATAACAACCTTTGTCCAGTCTATGTTTAATTCTGTTTCCTGTGCGCGCGCAAGAAAAGTTTGGTGTGCTGCGAACCACGGCGGCCGGAACTTGCGAAACAGGCCTAAGTGAAATAGGCTCAAAAAGCGGTGTTTTGGCATGAAAATCAGAGCCGGAAAAAGCGCAGCCAAACTTTCCCTGTCGGAAAACATCAAGAAGAAAACTGCGACTATAGCATGGCGGTGTGATCTATGGGGTGTGGTCAACTAAAGCGACAAGCGGCAAAACCACAGAAGCTCTAAGGTCCGGACCGTGCCAATCCAAACGAATAGGGATGTTGCCATTAAGTGAATGCATCCTAACATTCAAACAGGACTGAAGCACCTTATCTATTCCCGAGCAGAAGGACAAGCAGTTGAAACGATCAGCCCTCACTCTTTGGCTTGCGGAAGCCTCGTGCCAACGGCGGTGCACCCTAGCGGTGTGGTCTGGGCGCCAGGCCCGGTCGGATAAAATTTCAAAAGGGCGGGCCGGCTGCCACAAGCGACCGTTCTGTACAAAGCTGCAAAAGAGAGGCCGAAAGATCACACCGCAGAAATGCCGCAGGCGGTGTGATCTCAGCAAGTTGGTCACCGTCCTGAAAGGAAACCGTCAGGCATTGCTGGCCTGGCTTGCCCCTGCTCGGGGAGCTGCAAAGCTCGCCGCTGCTGTGGACAAAGGGTCCTCAGGCGGTGTGGTCCATGGCGCCGGCTTTCCCTGGAAAGTGCAGCAACCATAGTCGCCGACTTTGTGCTGTGGTACGTTCTTCTTGTCGCAAAGCTCGTCCCAGCAGTATGCCACTGCAGAGACCTGTACCACTTGCAGATCGAAAGGATAAGGGCAGTAATAGCTATTGTGCACCATCGTAGAACTCCAGTGCTTCTTGCCTTTACCCTTGCTGATGCCCTTTCCAGTCGCTCCAGCCTCTGCCCTTGCCTCGTGATATGAGGCTGCTTCTGCCTGGTCCAGTTCATAGGAAGATCCCCAAACCATGGCATTCCACTGTTGCATCCAGAGCGTCTCGTTCTCCGGCTGCGGTGTGGTCGGGGATGAATTGAGCACTTGATAAAGCTCTTGCGTAACCTCCAATCTCCCCACGAACTTGCCGTTGTCCGAGGAATAGAAAAGTCTCGCCCAGGCCTTTGCATCCTCCTTGAATTCGAGGTCCGCTGTTGGCTCCATCAACGTCAGGGTTTTCCGCAAAATGGTCAGCCTCGAAGTGGAGGTATGGTCGGGGTGGGCGTTGATGCAGGAGATCAACACCCTCAACGGCAGCTCCAGTTTGCGTTGCCACTGTGGGGCCGCCGGCCTGACCCGGATGTGCTTGCCTTGCACCGGCGTAGACTCATCTTGATAGAGCGGGGTCCCAGACGCGCCCCCAAATCGTTCCAGAAACGCGCTCCTCGTGTCCCAGGATTTGAACGTGAGCGTCGTCGTGGTACTGTAAAACTGATCCTGCTGCGGTATGGTCACGGGCTCCTGCTGGAGCACGTTCATATACTTCCCAAGATCATTGGCAGTACCATCCAGGTGGTAGCCCCGCGCCGAAATGAAGGTCTGGATTTTAGGTGTGGTCGAAAACATCCACCCCAACATGTAGTGCCTTTGCTCTGGCTTCATGTAATTGGGCCAGCCACTGGTAGTGATGCTTCTGTGCCAGTCGGTTTTCCGAGGCCATCCACTCCAGCTCACGTTTTGCCGTGAACACCTTGTCATCCACCGTCTTGAGCGCCGCTTCCAACTGGAGTACCAGATTGTAATACTCCGGTCTGATCACCTTCCGGTGATATGCCGACATCATTGCCAGCATCTGCTTCTTGTTCTGAACTGGTTCCAGAAGCCAAGCATTCACGGCGGTGTGGTCGTTGATGTTCACACCAAACTCTGCAGCTGTGAGTCCAGCTGCCGTAGCCTCCTCGAAGGCAAACGGCTGCACCAGGGACGGCACTGCCTCGCCCGCCTCTTCCTGCGGAACCGACTGCATCGGAACATCACCTTCCTGCGGTGTGGTCATAGCAGATTGGGCAGGAGTGGGTGCCGAGCGCTTGGACCTGCGCTGATAATCCCAGTACTCACTCTGAACTGCTTGGTAGCTGGGGGTCTGAAACTGCGACCTGGCTTGCGAAAACTGTTCCATGGCTTCACGATCCATGGCGAAACTGAGGCCTAGTTACCTCAAAGGACACGCCGCCTTAAGCGGTGTGGTCAAAGGGGGCTGCGAAGAAACAAAGGGCTTGCACGTGCATGCCTGCTAGCCGATACGCCTCTTAACCATATTTAGACCTTGAAAATAAGCGTTGGAAAATGCTCCGAAACCCTGACAGAACGCGACTGCTCAGCGTCCATAGCTCCTGTCACATTGGTAGCTCGTTTCGCACTAGTGGAAGAATGGAATCCGCCAACACATTTTAGAACAGATGAATATGTCAAAGCCGTTAAATTCCTGGGACGTGTGTAAAGATCTTGTGGTTCCTTGCTACCACCTATATAAGTGGATTTGGAATGTTTCTGATGTCACGATGTTGTACATATCAACCGCAGAAAATTTGTCAACCAATAGAGTCTGGTAAAATTTGCACGACCATGGAAATACAAGGGTGTGAATTTAAAGAAAATTATGTCCATGGAAGAGTTCAAATCCTTCATCCAAAGTGCTGCCTCACATATTTATTTACCGGACCAAGGACCAGTCGCAGAACGTTCCGATTGGATCGATCATCAACTACCAAAACTGTAGGATACGCGGTCAAACGTGGCCGCAAACGCAAACCCGAACAGCAATCAAACCAAAATTGAAGGAACAGAACGCAAACAAACACATCGAAGTCACGAAATGCCGCCCCTGCCACGAGTTTGGAAGATATCAAAATCGCTTCAAAACAAGAAACAGCTAAAACCAATTGTACTTGCGTCCTGCGTTTGTGCCGTCCGCGTGCCTGATGCAAGCGCTTCAAATGAAATAAAATTCACAATTTCCTTGAGGTTTGTGGGTGCACTGCATATATATGACCTCGTCATGTACCCAAGGGCCTATGCGTCCTGGTTTTTACGATGCGAGATGCTCCTTCCAATTTCTTTGCTTTTTGCAAGTGTCTTGAAAATCTGCTTGTTCTAGCAAAGTCGAAAGCTCAAACAGTTCAAACTTCTCTTGTTTTTGAATCTTCCGGACAGAGCTCAGTGTGAAAAGACCGAACAAGACTCATTATGTTGGCATCTTCATTGTTTCAAAACACTCTTGTTGGCAGATGCGCCGAAGCCATCTTCGACTTTACACGCGTTTTGACGCAGCAACGCGTGATTTCCACACCCAGGCAAATCAACAAAAATGTTGTGTTTTTCGTGGTACTTGCAATTCAGCGCACTTGCCAGTCCTTCCGTGCACCCGTGAACAGGGCTTCGGAGTGTGGCTTTTTGAAGTAACGACAAAGGCTAAGAGGCCGTCACATCTTCCGACTTACTACGGAATGTTTTCCGACTCAATCTTGCCAGCATCTGTTTGGGGCTGGTGTGTTCACTTCGAACTTCAACCGTTGCTGTGCCGCCTTGAAGGACCGGGCTATTTTGGAAGAGAGCGAGAAAATGTCCAAGGCCCACACTGAGCATGCGCCCAGCATGCCCAGACATCCTCGCAAGCACGAGGCGGAGAGGGCGGCCAAGTTGAAGGAAGTGCAGCAAGAGATCCAGGACGATGCATTGTGTGCACGCTGTATGGGGTGCAGCACTAGAAAGCGTTCTTGCGGAAGGAGGCGAAGAAACAGCAGCAGGAGCTCGAGAAGAAACAGAAGAAGCTCAAGATCCCAGTAGATCTCAGTTGTGGCATCGGTGACCGTGATTGGTGTCTGAGGCTGACGGAAGCGCTGGAGCTCATCAAGGCCGGAGTTAAAAGGCCACAGTCCAGAGACAGCGGGGCCGCGGGGAGTGGCTGACGCGTGCAGGCCGGTGGGGTCCAAGTCGAGAAGGTGGAGCAGCTCTTGGACGATGCCGATTGGCGTGCCCACTGTGAGGCCCGGTTTTGTGGGAAGACACGGCAGTTTGGATTTGTCTTTTGCAGGGCCGCACTTGCATCGGCCGCTCTGACTGCTTTGTGCACACCTCTCTAGCAGTAATCTTTATGCCGCGTGTTACATGCCAGTGGCCTTCCTGCCGCACATCTATGACGACGGTGCTGCGCTGAGCGCAATCCCGAAGCGACGGTGGCTTGGCGGTGTGTCGGGTGGGAGGTGCCGCGGGCCGACGAGAGAAGATCCAGGCCGGGCAGGGTTGCGGGTGCCGGGCTGGGCGGCGGACTCACCTCTCAGCAGGTCTTGGAGCAGGTCTTGAAGGAGACGAAGAAGGATGGCAAATCCGTGGGCTTCCTCTGGAGCCAGGGTGGCGACCAATTCGAGATGGAGGAGGCCAGAGACGCCGCAGTCGTACACGCTGCACACACATCACCGCTTTACCGCTAATCCGTCCCGAACTGATCCGAGGTGCTGGGTTTGCAGTTTGGCTTCCCGGCGGCCGCTCGGACGCGGACGCACGGACGGGCAGACAGTGACAGTCGCCGCAGTCGCATGTGCCAGGTGATGGCCGTTAACTTTGCCAAGGCCCTGCCGGCCGGCGAGTCGTGAGCGAGACATGTCATGTCATGCCGCGTCACGAGCTGAAGACTGTTTTCTTCTCAGGGCCGCTTTGGCGTCTTTCGGCCGCAGCTGCAGAGCAGGAATAGCAGGAGCAGGAGAGATAAAGATCAATTTAAAGGAATACCGGCGAAGAGGTTTTCCGTTCTGAGGTCCACAGAGGCATCTTCGACAAAGACTCCATATCTCAGTTCCTCACCTCCCTTGCACGCGGAGGCACTCCGCCCGGATCTCAGAAGTCGGATGCGGCAGCGGATTTTGTCTGCGGCGGCTCTCAGGCTGGCTCCTTGGCCTGTCCGTGACTGAGACCGGGCGGAGCAGCACTTCCAACCAGCGGCCCCCGCCCCGGCCGGCCCCGGCCCCCGCCTCGCCTCGTCTCTCAGGCCCGTGCGGTCGCTGCGAAGGCCGAGGCCTGGGATGGCAAGGACCGGACCGGCTCGGTTTCCGTTTCGGCTTCTTTTTGGAAGAGACGAAACGAAGCGGGGCTCCGTCCGTTCCGCTCAGGACGCTGCGCCGCCCGAGGAGGACCTCTGAGCTGAGGGCGGGCTGCCCCCTTTAGCGTTCCCAGCACCATAGACCATAGACGCAAGCGCGAGAGCGATGCAAGGGATGCAAGCACATGTGAACAGAATTGCACAGAATTGCACATCTGCAACATCACAGCTGTTTGGGCCTGCAGCTGTCGGCTCGACTCTGCTGGCAGCGCCAGAAGGGGCGCTTGGGATTCTTCGCAGACTCCGTGCAGGAGAACTTGAGCTCCGCGTGTGACCCGCCGACTCGTCGTTCTCGGAGGAGCGGATGCTGTACCTGCAGCAAGTGCTGAACGACATCCGGAAGGACGGAAACCGTGAAGTCTAGGGAGTCTAGGGCATTGGGGTGCAATTCACGAAAGGAATCGAATCCTCCAAAGTCGTTGCGAGCTGAACACCTCTTCAAGCTGAACGAGGCGCAGCAGACCGCAGACCACGGTAGCCGTGAGAGGAGAGACCGCTGGCTCCGCTGGCTCCGCTGGCTCCGCTGGCTCGTCAGGCGGTCTTCAACTTGTCCGAGGAGGACGCAGTGGACGGGCCCTTGGCCGTGAAGCTCTTCCAGGACGAGCTGCGAGCGATTGCGAGCGTCAGGCTGCGATATGCAGTCTCCAAACTCTTTATGAGGCAGTGGAGCGGATCCACACTGCCTATAACACCGGCAAGCCACTTGACTCAGCTGCGCATCAGTCTCGTCTGCGATTTCCGTGGCACTTGTTGGCTTCTTAAGGTATGACAACCAGGATTCGAATTTCTTCTACGATTACTTGGCCCTGCTGGGCACAATGCAGCCTGCTCCTCGTGAGAGCATGCGAGAGCGAGTGCGAGACGGATGCGTTGAGGAATCAGCACTTCTTCAGCCAGAAGCAGACAGAAAAGATGCTCGGCTGGATCAAGGAGGCGCTTGGACTCGGACTCCCGTCGGAGCCGTCGGAGCCCGCAGGCGCAGTCCGCAGTCTCGATATGCCTTGGAGGTAGTTGATGGAAGTGGGATGTTGGGGGAGTCCACAGACTCGAAGAACTTGGAGGACCGAATATCAAGAGGCTTTAAGACAGGCGCGCAAGCGGAAGCGACGAGCCGTCGCATCAGGTCGAGAACGAGAAGCTCAGAAAGAAGCTCGCAAAGTACGAGGCGCTGGCCTGGCGTTTGCAAGCACGGGCACGAATTCACGAAGCGACCCGAAGCGACCACGGGCGAGTGTCTCCCTGATTTCAGGGAATGGTTCAGACCCTGAAAAGCATCGAGACGGACTCTAACTCTGTCAAACTCTCGAGTTTTGGCGCGACTTCGGCACAAGCGCCAGCTTCTGGGCTTGCGGAAGGAGCCCAAGTCGAAGGCAAGGGCCAAAAAGAAAGAGGCCGAGGCCGAGGAGCATGGAGCTCTGTGTGCTCTGTGTGCTCTGTGTGCTCTGTTGCTCTGTTGCTCTGTGTGTGTCTTTTTGGCCTGGACTCCAGGAGCCGAAGCCACAAGGCCGCTGAACCGAGCCCGGTTCCGTTCCGGGTTCCGCGTCGCTTGCGCCCAGCGACCGCTCGCGCTCGCGCCCAGAGCCTTCCCTGCCGGAGGTGCCAAGGGAAAGGCCAAGGCCAAGGATGCCAAGGATGCCAAGGGCAAGAGCAAGAGTGCGACCAGCCTTTGCCTTAGTCTTATAGAACTCTCTTTTTCAGCTGAGAGCGGCTTCAAGCCTCGACGCAATGTTCTGAAGTCGGCTGAGCAGGCAAGTATGATTACGAGGAGGAAGAGGAAGAAGCACCTCGCTTGCGCGTGGTCTGCAGGCGCACGGCTTGTCTTCTCTGGCTCACGTGCCCAGGACCAGGAGCCTGTCCTCAAAGGCAAGGGCAAAGGCAAGGGGAAGTCCAAGGGCGCCGAGAGCGGAAAGGAGGGGAAGAGCAAAGAGGGAAAGGGAAAGGG